CCCCCGCCATGCCCCGCGCCGCCGCCCGCCCGTCCCTCCCTCCCGTGGGGCCGCGGCGCGCGGGCCCCGAGAGGCGCGAGCCCGAGCTTCTTGCAGAGCGGCTTTAACGGAAACACGATGATACCCGAGAGAACCGTGTGGCGTTCCGGGGCCGCGCGGGGCTCAGCGCAGCAGCAGCGGCGCCAGCGCCGAGCGGTGCTGGGCGGCGGGGGACAGGCGCTGCAGGCACGGCGCGGAGCAGGGCCGCAGGAGCCCCGCCGGCGCCGCTGCTGCCCGGTACGGCGGGGCCGGTGCTCGGGATACGGGAGCGCTCAGCACGGGAAGGGTCCGTCGGTGCTCGGCACCCTCGCGGGGGGCGCCGGGCAGAGCCCTGTGGGACAGAGAGCGGTGTCAGCGGGGCACAGAGCCCCCTGCCCGGGTGTCTGGTACCCAGCTCTGCCTGCCTGGCAGGGCTCTGAGGTGAGCCCGCACCCCAAATGGCAGCAGCACCTACCCAGGCCTGTCTGGGGCTCTGCGGGCGTTCAGCTTCATTGGGAGCACCTGTGCAGAGGGAGGAGGAGGATCAGTGCCAGGTGCTTGTCCCTGGGCTTTCACTGTGTCTCAGGGAAAGGTGTGTGGGACAGAAATATCTGGCAGAGCCCCACAGCTGGGGGGGCTCCCAGCCCCTGAGGGACTCCCAGTGTTTGGGGTGGCCCCTTCCCATCCCCGGCCGTGCTGCAGCCCAGGTGCTTCCCAGTGTTTGGGGCGGCCCACCCGGCAGAGCCATGGGGCAGCCCCTTCCCATCCCCGGCCGTGCTGCAGCCCAGGTGCCCTCCCTGGTGCCTGTGGTACCTGCAGAGGTGCCGTGTCCTGGAGCCCCTGCGCGCCTCGCTGTGCCTCCCGCGGTCTGTGGCCGGTGCTCGGCGCTGCCCGGGCGCCCTTGGGCACGGTCCCTGTGTGACAGAGGAGACAGCTCAGCCCGTGCTGGCGAGGGCTCCGTGCCACAGCGGAGTCACCAGCTGGGCTGGAGGCATCGCGGGGCGCGGTGGCACAGCCGGGTGACACGGTGCCCTGCAGGGTCCCTCCCTGCCAGCTCTGCCAGGGAGGGCCCCTCCGCACAGCCCAGCAGCGAGGGCTGGCCCTGGCAGTGGCCCATACCAGCGGAGGGTGTGACGGGCACAGAGCTCAATCCCAGCTCGTGCTGCCAGTGCAGAGGCTCTGCCCAGGCCAAGCTCCTGGCTTGGTGTCCCATGGCACTGGTGTGACCACGCTGGCCAGGCTCAGCCAGGAGTGAGGAGCTGGGGGCACAGCCGTGCCCTCTGAACCGGGGTATGTCCTTGGGCATGGGACATCTGCTCAGCCAGGGGAGCTGGGGGGAAAAAGGAAGGTGTTTGGGGGCCTGGCTGCAGTGGACAGCACCAAAGGAACACACCTGAGTTTCTGATCACCTGGGTAGTCTTTATGCCAACCCAGCTTTTTCCCCATCCCACAGAAGTGAGGTGAAGCCAGGGCCAGACCCCACAGCAAATGGGACCTGCAAGCAGGAGCCTCTGCTGGGCAGGATGGGCCACAGCCCCTGCCTCAGTGGGAGTACTGCCAAGAGGACTAGAACAGCTCAGCTGGTGCCAGCCTCGGCCAGCAAAGCCAGCAGCAGCTGGGGGTGTCACTGGGGGTCTGGCAGACGCCCTCACCCCAGCATGAACACAGGTCTGGGCTCCCCAGGGTGTGGCCAGGCTGCAGGGGGACATGGGGATGAAGGGGGAGGGTGGGACAAGAGCAGGGCAACAGGGTCTGCTCCCTGTCACAGCTCCAAGCACACAGCTCCTTCCCCGCTGCCTGGGGAGGGCAGAGGCTGGCGTGGCACAGCCAGCCTGAGGGCACCAGCACGGGCCTGGAAGGCAAAGCCAGGGCTCAGAGCATCCCTGGGCCCTGATCCCCGTGCTGACAGTGCTGCTGACAGTGCTGGGCCCCTCGCACTGGGAGAAGGTGGTGGGAGAGCTGGGGTGGCCAGGCAGGAAGCAGGTCAAGCTGATGCCAGGGCAGGGGAGGAAGAGCCGGGTCCTGGTCCCAGTGCAGGGTGCAGTGTCCCCTGGGGCACTGTGCTGCTGCAGGCCGTGCCAGTGGGGAGCACAGGAGGCAGGAGGCCCCAGCCAGTCCGTCCTGGGGACACCACGGACCAGGCTCTGCCCCTCTGGCTCACAGGGTCTGTTCCTGCTCAAACCCCAACTGTCCCCAGCCCCTTCAGCCAGGGGTGGGGCCAGGGGTCGCCCCGGGCGGGCCCGGCCAAAGGAACAGACGGAACAACGTGCCCATGAGAACATCAGCCTTTTATTTCCTCCCCACCATGTTCTCATGGCAGACAAGACACAGTCGTGACAGAGGGCTGGGCAGCAAACCCCGAGGACAACACGACAGACACCAGAGGAACACAGCTCAACACAAGCACAGCTTCAGGCACACAGGGAGGCACCTGCCCCCAGCTCACACCCCCAGCCCTGGGCACTGGAAGGCTTTGGAGCACGGTGCCCCCAGGGCTGAGCCCCACAATGGATGTGGGCACAGGGCTGCCACTGCCTGTCCCCCACGGCCCTGAGCCCCTGCCCCACGGTGGCAATACCAGCACAGAGGGCATAGCCAGTGTCTTGCCTTACTCTGGCACCCTCCTGCAGGGATGCATGTTGGAAACCCTCCGGTGCCCCTTGCCTGCTCACCTCACCACAGCCACAGGTCAATAACCCCCTGTTGCCCAGCCAGTGCCTAAAGAGGGGAAAGGCACTTTGGTGTGTCCCTGCTGGCCTCAGGAATGCTTGGGAACAGTGGGAAGTTGAGCAAAGGTGTTCTGTGCTGGCTTCTGCAGAAGCCCCTCGGTCCTGGCACAGGAGGGGGATCGTCTCCCTGCAGCCCCAGTGCGCAGGGTCCCCCCCATGCCAGTGGAGCAGGAGCTCAGCTGGGCTGTAAAACTGCAGGCCTTGCTGTGCAGTGCCAGCCCTGAGCCCGCTCAGGATCCTCCTGTGGGGCCAGGCCCCTCACACTGGCTGATGCACACAAACCCACTGTCACTGTGTCCGTGCTGGCCTCCCTCAGGGCCGTGGGCCCGCCCAGCAGCTGGACAGGCGCCGCAGCAGGCGTGCGAGGGCTCCCCAGCCCGGCTTACCTCTGCCCAGGGCCGGGGTGCTGCCGCCACTCACGGGGCTCTGGGAGGCCGCGGCGGCGGCCGGGGGCCTGGGGCTGCCAAAGGTGAAGCTGGGGGAGGCCCGGATCCGGGGGGAGTCCTGCTGGCTGCCCCCGCTGCCACTGGTGCCGTTGCTGAAGCTCCTGGCACGGGCCAGTGCGTTGTCAGAGGCCGAGGTGGGCAGCCCGCTGCAGGGGTGAGAGATGGGGGTCAGCCCAGCACGGTGAGGGGGCTCCCCTCTGCGCCTTCCACCCAGCACCACAGCCCAGCTCCGGGTGCTGGGGCTGCAGCCCCACCTCTGGCAGAGCCCTGGACTCCTCCTCGGGAGCTGGGGAACAGCTGGGGACAAGGATGCCACCAGGACTGTCCCCGAGAGCTGCAGCCCCAGTGCCCTGCGCTGCACATCGCTGTCCCAGCAGCGTTGTCTCAGGGTTCCCACTTCCTCACCCCCAATCCCAAATCAAGGAATTGCTGAGTTTGGAAAAGGCCTGAGACACCAACCCTCCCCCAGCACTGCCCAGGCCACCACTGACCCATGGCCCGCAGTGCCATATCCACAGGGCTTTAAATCCCTCTGGAAATGGAGACTCCACCCCTGCCCCGGGCAGCCTGTGCTGGACAGCCCTTTCCAGGAAGGAATTGTTCCCAACATCCAGCCTGAACTTCCCCCGGCACAGCCTGAGGCCATTTCCCCTTGTCCTGCCCCTCTTCCCTGGGAGCAGAGCCCCACCTGGCTCCACCCTGCTGTCGGGGAGCTGTGGAGAGGAAGAAGGTCCCCCTGAGCTTCCTCTGCTTCAGGCTGAGCCTCCCAGCTCCCTCAGCCTCTCCCACCCCAGCCCAGTGCTGGACGTGACGCAGGAGAGACCACCCAGATTACTGGGGCAGGCAAATCCCAACCAGTTCACTCTGTGCCCTTCTCTGCTGATGGCTGGGAGCAGAGGGACTGACAACTGCAGCTCCCAGAGCTGGCAAGAGCTAGGGCCAGGGCAGGTGACCCTGGCAGGTGACTCACTTGGGGACATTTATCATCTCTAAGTGCCGTTATCCTGCAGCCGCCACGCTCGCCCCAGCCAGCCCTTACGTGGAGCTCCTGGGGGGGGTCCCGGCACCTCCTCTCCTCCGCGGGCCCCCGCTGGTGCCGCGCAGCCCCCGCACGTGCTTCAGCATCCAGGCGCGCAGGTTGCCCAGGCAGGCGTGCTCCGAGAGCACGATCCGCGGCCAGGGGTTGCAGTCGGCCATGTCCAGGGCCGCCACCGCCACCGCCCGGCCCACCTGCCCGGGACAGGCACAGTGAGGGGGCACCAGGAGACAGAGGGACAGCACAGTGCGGGGCACAGCCAGGGGGCACAGCCAGGAGGGGAGCACAGGGGAAGAAACGGGGACACGGGGAAGGAAGGGCACAGTGGGAGGCGCTGGGGAGAGGAGCAGTAGTGAGGGGCTCACAGGGAGGGGAACCCAGCAGGAGAATGGGGGCATGAGGGGAGATGAGGGCACCAGGAAAGGAGAATGCCACGGAGTGGGGGCATTGGGGAATGGAGCAGTAGTGAGGAGATCACAGGGAGGGGAACCCAGCAGGAGAATGGGGGCACGAGGGGAGATGAGGGCACCGGGAAAGGAGAATGCCAGGGAGTGGGGGCACTGGGGAATGGAGCAGTAGTGAGGGGCTCACAGGGAGAGGAAGCCACCAGAAGAAGGGGGGCACGAGGGAGATGAGGGCACCAGGAAGGGAGAATGCCAGGGAGTGGGAGCACTGGGGAATGGAGCAGTAGTGAGGAGATCACAGGGAGGGGAACCCAGCAGGAGAAGGGGGGCACGAGGGAGAGGAGGGCACCAGGAAGGGAGAATGCCAGGGAGTGGGAGCACTGGGGAATGGAGCAGTAGTGAGGAGATCATTCCCCTCAAACCCAGCAGGAGAATGGGGGCACGAGAGGAGATGAGGGCACCAGGAAGGGGGGATTCCAAAAAAGGAGAATGCCAGGGAGTGGGAGAACTGGGGAATGGAGCAGTAGTGAGGAGATCACAGGGAGGGGAAGGCACCAGAAGAAGGGGGGCACGAGGGAGATGAGGGCACCAGGAAGGGGGGATTCCAAAAAGAGAGAATGACCGGGAGTGAGAGCACTGGGGAGGGGGCAGCTCCCTAGAGCTTGGGACAGCAAAGCAAGGGGAGGAAAGAAACCCCAGCCCCACCTCCCAGCCCACCCTCCGGATGTCACTCCCCCTGCAGGCTGCCCTGGGCCCCCGTACCTGCTCGAAGAGCTCCACGGTGTACCGGGAGGGGAAGGCGGGCGGCGGCGGGGGGCTGGCACGGCCGTTGTCGTGGCAGGCCCCCGGGATGCTGTTCACCGAGCGCCCCGTGTTGTAGTTGCACTCCAGGGTGTAGCTGTGGGGCACGAGGGAGCCCCTGTTACCCCACAAACCAGCGGCAGGGCTGGGGCTAGGCCACATTATTCCCCTGGGAGAGCCACTCCAGCAGATTCAGGGCACTGGGAATCTGGGATGGGTGTCTGAGGGTGGCACCCAGAGTGCCAAGGTTCCTGTGAGGAGACCTCTTGGTCACGTCTGGAAGGTGATGGGATGGGGGGGGGTCCCTGATGGCTGGATAAAGGGAATTATCTACTGTCAACACCAACAATCCAGGGAGTGGGCAGCTACAGCCTTCCCCTGACCCTCAAGGTGCCTTGGAGCACTTCCTGCTGGAGGAGGAGGGATGGGGAAGTGTGGGCTAGGAGCTGCCAGCTGGGATGGCTCCCATCTGTCCCACTGCCCAGAGACAGCTGCAGGGCCAGCACAGCAGAAAACCTGAGCAGCTCTGCCCCAGCCTGCCTGGGAGCCCACACGTGCACTGTGAGCACTCCCAGCACTTTCTGGGATGTTGCTGTTGGATCAGCAACCTGAGCTGCTCCAGGTCAGTCACAGAACAAAGCTCCCCAGTAAGCCCAAAGCCCACGTGTGTGTGTGTGCTCCTGTGGGGCTGGACTAGTGCTGGGCACAAAGCAGCAGCTGAGCACACAGCAAGCGCTGAGGAAAGTGAGAGAACCCCCAGTCTGTGGGTCTGGCTGCCCTGCCCCATGCTATATTCCCAGGAATATCCCATCCCACGTGGGAGAGGGATGGATCACAGGCATCCCCAGCTCACGGGATCACTGATGGGCTGAGGCTGGAATCTCACACACAGCCATGGGGATGCTATGCCCACTGCAGCTCTACTTAATTACAGCTCAATATACCCAGGAACATCCAGGAAAGAGGAGAATTCCCCTCAGAAAGATGTGCAAGAGCAGGGAGAAGCAGCCAGAGCAGCTGCAGGAGGGGTGGGGAGGAACAGGAAGGAAAGGAGCCTGGCTGAGCCTGCATCTCAGGAACACAGCAACACCTGGCACAACCAGGCCCAGCCTCTGCTGACCCGCCCTGGGGCCACTCAGGTGTCTGTGCCACGGAACTGGTTCCCCCTTTGTCCCCCACCCAGCACAAGCCCTTTGTGCCCCCAGGGTGGCCCCGGAGCTGCCCTACCTGTGGATGATGCCCAGGGCCTTGTAGACGGCCACGCGCCCGCTGCCCTCCTTGGACTGCCCGTCCCGCTTGTCCCGGGCGTACATGTTCTTCTCCGAGAAGTTGCAGCCCGTGAAGTCAAAGTGAGGGCAGTTCAGGGAGATGAGTTTGGGGAACAGCATGTTCTCCACCTGCAGAGTGCAGGGAGCAACAGGGGTGACCACGGGCTACTCGTCCTGCTCCAGTGGGACCAGTGCTGAGCGCAGGCTCGCACCAGGGCCCGCTCTGCCCAGTTCCAGGGTCTCACAAGCTCCAGCTGTGCCCAGGCCATGCTGCCCACCCCCCGACGGGCTCTCCTGACAGCCAGCTGGGAGAACACCCTGCTGACCCTTGCCAGCTCCCAGGGGGAATCTCAGACCTCCTGCTGCCCTGGTCACCAAACTGGGGGAGGAGAGAGAGGAGGAAGGAAGGAAAAGGGGAGGAAAAGGAAGGAGCTGTGAAGGGATTCCACGCCCCTCTCCCAGCAGCAGCAGCACTGGGGCCCGCGGGCAGGGGGCAGAGCAGCAGGGGCTCCCAGCAGCCGCGGGTTCGGGCCGTGCCCTCACCTGGTCGTTCTCGTCGCTGAAGCTGTTGCCGTACATGAAGCAGCCGCGCTTGGAGGCGTGCCCGTGCAGGTCCACGTAGTAGGCCAGGCCGCTGTCCCGGGGTGCAATGGGCTCTGCGGGCTCGGCAGCCGCGGGGGCTGCAGCAGGCGCCCACGGCCCCTCCTCACAGCGCTCGCTGCCCTGGCTGGACGGGAGGATCCAGGCGGCCGGCTCCGTGCTGTCTGACAGCTGGGCATCCTGCGCCGGCGTCCTGGGGCCGCTGCCAGCCAGGCCGGAGCGGGCGCCGGCACGCCAGGTGCCGGGGGAGTTGCGGAGGTTGTTGGTTTTGTCCAGCTCCGATAATGCGGTCTCCACGGCTGGGATGGGACAGTTGGGAGATTTTAAGCTCAGCGAGCTGGTGCTGAGAGGGGAGACAAACGTCCTCCAGTCCGGAGAGCCGGGCAGGACGCGGCTGTGGACGTGGTGGTAGAGCAGCACGGCCTTGGCGCCGTACACGGCGGGGTGCAGCTCGGCGTCGGGGTGCAGGTACTGCCGGTTCAGGTTCACCCCGCGCGAGTCGGTCCTGCAGGGAGAGCCGAGACACCTGAGCGCCTCCCAGGCACCCCGGCAGGGCTGAGCTGGCCTCGGAGCACCCAGGGCTTTGGGCTCTGTCCAAAAATGCCAGCAATGGCCAGACCAGTGGCCAGGGGCTGCCAGAGATGCACAGCGTGGCAGAGTCCTGCACGATCTTCCCCGGAGCTGGGAAGGGAATGGAGCCCCAGGAGAGGCTGAGGGAGCTGGGAAGGGAATGGAGCCCCAGGAGAGGCTGAGGGAGCTGGGAAGGGAATGGAGCCCCAGGAGAGGCTGAGGGAGCTGGGAAGGGAATGGAGCCCCAGGAGAGGCTGAGGGAGCTGGGAAGGGAATGGAGCCCCAGGAGAGGCTGAGGGAGCTGGGAAGGGAATGGACATTCCCTGCAACTCCCTGACAGGAGAATGGAGCCATGTGGAGGGGTCAGGTTCTGCTCCCAGAGAGCAAGGTACAGGACCAGAGAACAGCCTCGAGCTGAACCAGGGAAAGTTTAGGTTGGATATTGGGAACACTTTCTTTATGGAAAGGGCTGTCTAGCCCCTAGCACTGGCTGCTCTGGGCTAGGGTGGATTCCCCATCCCTGGAGGGTTTCAAAGCCCTGTGGCTGTGGCACTTGGGGACAGGGGACAGTGGTGTCCTGGGCAGTGCTGGGGGTGCTTGGACTCAATGGTCTCACAGAGCTTTTCCAACCCAAGTGAATCCAGGATTCCATGATTTTATAAATGTTACAAAAACCACAGAATCAGCTTTCTGAGATTCCTCCTTCAGCAAACTCACAGCCTTTTCCACATCCACACCCACCAGTGAAGGACACTCGCCTTTTGCTCACATCTACCAAACAATACTCAAATAAACCACTCCTGCTTCTTTCCCTTGGCGGAACGTTGGACTCAGTGCTCTGGGAGGACTTTTCCAGCCCGAGTGACTCCCTGGACCCCAGAGCAGGCTCCCAGGCAGGAGGCCCTGCACTCACCGGTAGTGGCCCCGCAGCACCCCGTCGGGGTTCAGCATGGGGATGAGCTTGAACACGAACATGCGCCGCAGCATCTGGGCACGGGGATCCTCCTCCCGCAGGATGAAGTCCAGGAAGCCGTTGAAGACAAAGCTGGAGGGGGTTTCTCCTGGGTGGACTCTGCTGCTGAGGAAGAACACCTGGGGACAAGCAGACGGGGTGAGGGGGTGTCCTGCCTGCCCCAGGATATTGTGATAGTCAAGGGTCTCAGACTCTGCTCCACAAACTCTGCCCAAACGCTCGAGCCCTTGCGGCCACAGCGCCATTCTGGTCACAGACACGGGGGCTGCAGAAAGGTGCCAACACACGGGCCACCACGGGGGCTGCTGGCCCCCAGCCCAGCCCAGCCCAGCCCAGCGGGTGGTCTCACCCTCTTTCCAGTGAAGCAGTGAGGCCGGGGTGTGCTGGTGTCTGGGAAAAGCTTGTCCAGCCGGGGCTCCCGCTTCTCCTGCATGCCATGGCACGAGGTGATGGTCAGCAGGTCCACACGCAGCTTGTCCAGAGAGTGGCAGAGCAGCTCCCGGTGGTAATAGACCGAGTCGAGGGGGCTGTGGGGGACAAGGGGTCTCAGCCAGCCCCAGGGGCTGGGTTGGGAACGCTGCCCACACTCACAGCCCCGGGGGCTGAGCAGCCCCAGCCCCACAAGGCCCACCCCCACATCTGGGCTCTGCTGCTGGGAGCACGAGCAGCCCTTCCTGCAGGGTAAGGAGGGGGGCCCAGGGCTGGGGCTTGCCCTGCCCAGCCCCCCAGCTGTGGGAGCAGTGGGGGATCAGCTCAGGCACACACAGACTGGCACAGAGGGTCAGGCCATCCCATCCAGAGATAATGCCTCCCAGCAGGAGGCACAGGGCACTGAGGGATTCATCCCATCAGGGTGGTAACCCATTCTGGCAGGAGGGACTGGGCTCCAGAACAAGGGATCCTCTGGAATCCCGGGGGTAGCTCAGGGTGAGCTGCTTGTGCAGAGCTGGGGCGCAGAGAAGCACGGGCCAGGCAGCTATGGGGAGGGCACAAAGACCCTCCTGCTGCAGACAGAGCTTCCCCAGGGGAAAACAACCCAAGAAGGCACAGGCCAGGAAAGGTGTGAGGGCCAGGAAGGTGGGGGCAAAAGCCAGGAAGGAGAAAGTGGGGGGCACACCTGCTGGGGGACATGTGCCTGCAGTCCTGGAAGCGGCCGTCCAGCTGTGCCAGCATGTCCTGGCACTCCGTGTAGGAGAAGGGGTAGCAGAAGGCAAAGTAGGTGGTGGCCCCGCGGTGCTCCAGGAAGCGGTGCACGAAGGACAGCACGAACTGCGCCTCCACCACCTGCCACAGACACCGGGGAGAGGGCTGGGAATGGCCCAGGGGCAGAGCCAGCCAGCACAGCCCTGCTGCTCTCCTCTGGGACACTGAGAGAGCTGGGGACAGCCTGGGGCCAGAGCCAGCCCAGCACAGCCCTGCTGCTCTCCTCTGGGACACCCAGAGTGATGGGCACAGCCTGGGGACAGAGCTAACACAGCCCTGCTGCTCTCCTCTGGACACCGAGAGGGATGGACACAGCCTGGGGACAGAGCCAGCACAGCTGGGCTGGGCTGAGAGAGCTGGGTACAGCCCAGGGACAGAGCTAACACAGCCCCGCTGCTCTCCTCTGGACACCGAGAGGGATGGACAGAGCCAGCCCAGCACAGCCCTGCTGCTTTCCTCTGGGACACCAAGAGGGATGGACACAGCTCAGGGACAGAGCTAACACAGCCCTGCTGCTCTCCTCTGGACACCGAGAGAGCTGGGCACAGCCTGAGGACAGAGCTAACACAGCCCTGCTGCTCTCCTCTGGACACCGAGAGAGCTGGGCACAGCCTGAGGACAGAGCTAACACAGCCCTGCTGCTCTCCTCTGGACACCGAGAGAGCTGGGCACAGCCTGAGGACAGAGCTAACACAGCCCTGCTGCTCTCCTCTGGACACCGAGAGAGCTGGGCACAGCCTGAGGACAGAGCTAACACAGCCCTGCTGCTCTCCTCTGGACACCGAGAGAGCTGGGCACAGCCTGAGGACAGAGCTAACACAGCCCTGCTGCTCTCCTCTGGACACCGAGAGAGCTGGGCACAGCCTGAGGACAGAGCTAACACAGCCCTGCTGCTCTCCTCTGGACACCGAGAGAGCTGGGCACAGCCTGAGGACAGAGCTAACACAGCCCTGCTGCTCTCCTCTGGACACCGAGAGAGCTGGGCACAGCCTGAGGACAGAGCTAACACAGCCCTGCTGCTCTCCTCTGGACACCGAGAGAGCTGGGCACAGCCTGAGGACAGAGCTAACACAGCCCTGCTGCTCTCCTCTGGACACCCAGAGGGATGGACACAGCCCGGGGACAGAGCTAGCACAGCCCTGCTGCTCTCCTCTGGCCCCCAGCAGTGCCCTGGCGCCGGCCCTTGGCTCTCCCCGTGGCACAGCATCTGTTGCTGCTCCTGTGCCCACCTCCCTCGCAGAAGCCAGGAACAAAGCAGCTGCTCGGCCGAGCGGGCAGAACGCGGGGCTCAGCCCAGCGCAGGCGGCGCTGGCTCCCGGACGGGCTGCCCGGTGCCCGGCCCCTCGGGGCGCTCCCGGCTCTCACCGGGAAGCTGGGGCGCTGCCGGATGCGCTCCCAGCGCGGCCGCACGGGCAGCGTGCGCACGAAGGGGGTCATGCCCTGCGCGTACAGCCGGCTCTGCTTGTTCATGTTCAGGATGTGCAGCTTGATCAGCTTGCCCGGGGCTCCCCCGCGCACGCTGAAGTAGAACCAGGACCTGCGGACGGCAGGAGCGGCGCCGCCTCAGCGCTGCCCCGGTGCCACCGGGAGCTCTCTGAGCCCCGCCGGAGCCCCCTCCCGGGGCACCGCAGCCCCTTTCCTCAGACCCCGGCCCCACCGCTCCTCTTCCCGAGGCACTCCCCCTTCTCGGCACCGCCGGAGCGTGTCAGACCCCCCGAGCCCCCTCCCAGGGCTCCTCCGCCGCCACCGGCCGCCCCAGCCCCGCCGCCGCCCCTTCCACCGACAGCCCCGGCCACTCCCGGCCCCTTCCGGGGGTGCCCCAAGAGCCAACCGAGCGCCCCTTCCCGGTTCCCCGCGCAGCGGTACCTGTTGCCGTTCTCATACTCCGTGTGCGCGCAGTCGGGCCGCGTCCACACGTTGAACTCGTAGTCGGCGGCGGGCAGAGCGTTGGCCCGGGCGGCGGGGCCGCCTCCCGGCTCTGTAGGCCGCACCTGTTCTACATGTGCCAGGTTGCCCGAGTCGAAGCGGGAGCTGAAGAGGAGACCCCCGCAGCGGATCTCCATGGCCCGGCAGGGCCGGGACCGGCATCGCCCCGGGACGGCCGCGGCACGGCCGGTACGGGCAGCCCGGCAACAGCAAGGCGCGCGGCCATTGGCTGCCGCCTCGCAGCAACGTGCCCGCCCATTGGCTGGCGCCTCGGCAACGGCCGCAGCGGCACCGGGGCCGCGGCTCCTCTCGACCACGCCCCTCTCTGGCAGAGCATAGGCCACGCCCCTTACTGAATGTCACGCCCCTTCATGCTATGACCACGCCCTTTATGGCCCTGGCCACGCCCCCTTGTGGTAATGGCCGCGTCCCCAGAGGAGTGACCGGACAGAGGGGACACGGTGTGACCGGACAGTGGGTGTGAGGGGACACTGGTGTGTGACTGGACCGTAGGTGTGAGTGGACAGTGTGACCGGACACTGGGTGTGACCAGGGAGTGGGTGGACAGCGGGTGTGAGTGGACAGCGGGTGTGAGTGGACAGTGGGTGTGAGTGGACAATGCGTGTGAGTGGCCATTGGGTGTGAGTGGACACAGGTGTGAGTGGACAGTGGGTGTGAGTGGACAGTGTGACTGGACACAGGGGTGAGTGGACAGTGTGAGTGGACACAGGCGTGACCGGACACAGGTGTGAGTGGACAGTGGGTGTGAGTGGACATTGGGTGTGAGTGGACAGTGGGTGTGAGTGGCCATTGGGTGTGAGTGGACATTGGGTGTGAGTGGACAGCGGGTGTGAGTGGACAGTGGGTGTGAGGGGACAGTGGGTGTGAGTGGACATTGGGTGTGAGTGGACACTGGGTGTGAGTGGACAGTGTGAGTGGACAGTGTGAGTGGCCATTGGGTGTGACCGGACACAGGCGTGACCAGACCCGGGGCTGTGCAGTGACCCACACACGGAGCACAGGTGTGCACGGAGGCACGGACACCTGTACGTGCCACACGTGGCTGAGCACAGAGGCAAACGCAGCTGCCCCACCCCCACGGGTGCCCCACCCCCACGGGCAGAGGCGGGGGTCAAACCTGACCCCTCCCCACTCCACAGGAACCCCCCCACCCGGGGCCCACCCGTGGGTGGCACCAGCAGCTCCCTGGGCTCCTTTAAGCCACCCCAGCCAGAGCAGGGGGCTCCACCGAGGCACTGCTCCCCCCGGGGTGGGTGGGATTGGGTGGGGATGGGGGTGCAGGGGGGGTCTGCACAGCCCCTCCCCCCCACCACGCACAGCCATCTCCAATTAGGAAGAAATGTAAAGCACACGGAGCGATTCTAAGGAAAAAAATAATAAAATAAATCAGTTCGTTCATTGGTGGGGAGGGCTGGGAAGGTGAGGGGCTCCACCCCTGATCCTGTCAGCAGGTGAAACACGAGGGGATGGGGACCACCCACCCACCCACCCAGGGACAGAGGGACAGGGAAAGCCAGAGCGGTCACAGGGGGTGGAAAAACCTGGACGCGGGTCTCCCCAAAAAAAACAAACCTCCCCAGAAGCCCCGATGGGACCCCAAGTTCCTGCGGGCACTGCCCTGCGCCCCGGGCACCCCTCGGCAGCCAGAACACGGGGTGCCCTCCAGAGAGCAGCTCAGTGTCCAGAGATCACGGCCAGGGCCCAGTTTTTGAGGGCCAGGGTGGCGTTCTGCAGGTAAATCCAGGAGGAATGGGTGAAGCTCACCAAGTGGTCCCTCACGCACTGCCACGTCACGTCCCCACTGGAAAACAAGGACAAGGGATTACGGGGGGGCTCAGAGCCACAAGGGCTGAGGGACATGGGGGACACAGGCAGGGCAGGGCAGGGGACACCCAGGGCTGGCAGAGGGACACACAGCAGAGGGCAGGGGACACCCCGGGCTGGCACAAGGACACACAGGCAGGGCAGGGGACACCCCGGGATGGCAGAGGGACACACAGGCAGGGCAGGGCTGGGGACACCCCGGGCTGGCACAGGGACACACAGCAGAGGGCTGGGGACACCCCGGGCTGGCACAGGGACACAGGCAGGGCAGGGCTGGGTCACCCAGGGCTGGCACAGGACACACAGCAGAGGGCTGGGGACACCCCGGGCTGGCACAGGGACACAGGCACGGCAGGGGACACCCCGGGCTGGCACAGGGGGTTGGGGACACCGGGCTGGCACAGGGACACACAGCAGAGGGCTGGGGACACCCCGGGCTGGCACAGGACACACAGGCAGGGCTGGGGACACCCCGGGCTGGCACAGGGACACACAGGCAGGGCAGGGGACACCCCGGGCTGGCACAGGGACACACAGGCAGGGCAGGGCAGGGTCACCCCGGGCTGGCACAGGGACACAGGGGGCAGCGTGGTGGAGCTGCTCACCTGCAGGAGTCGAGGCAGCTCTGCCAGCCCCGCTGCAGCACCGCAGCCAGGCCCTGCAGCAGCGGCAGCAGGCAGCTGTGCAGCACGAACAGCAGCAGCTCCCGCGCACACTCGGCCAGGTGCAGCAGCGCCTCGGGGAGCCGGCTCTGCAGCTGGGGCAGCAGAGATGGCGTGGGGTGAGCAGCAGCCCCTCCCGGGGGCTGCCTGCCCGGGCTGGCCCTGCTCACCCTCCCTCCCTCCCTCCCCAGCAGCCTGCAGCTCGCCCTCCCCACGCTGCCCTTCCCCAGCGCACCCGCGCTCTGTGGGACGCTGGTGCCACCCCACTGCCACCAGAACTGGCTGCTGGAGCACCAGGGAGTGCTCTGAGCCCTCTGCCTTCCCCAGCCACTGCCAACAGCTGCAGTGGGAGGACAGATGGCATCAGAGACCTGCCGTGGGGCTGTCCCCTTCCCAGAACACCAGCACGGGGGGCTCCTGCCAGCAGCGGCGGCAAACGCGTCACCACCCCACCTCAGGGCTCCCCAGCAGAGCTTCCCCAGGGCTACAAGCCCCCCCGTGGTACCCCCTGTCCCCCCAGCCCTGAGAGCCCCCACTCACCCAGTCGCTGAGCCAGGGCAGGCCGCCGTGGAGCCAGGAGAGCAGGGAGCAGCCCTGCTGGGTCACAGCCCGGGCCACCTCAGCGCTCGTTTTCCAGAGCAGCTCCAGCTGTGGCCACAGCACAGACAGGGCCACGGAGCCGTGCTGGGCCAGGCTGTGCTCCAGCCACCTGCAAGGAGTCCTCAGATGAGGCCAGGGCCGCACGGAGCTGCCAGCACGGGGTGCGCGGGGCAGAGCTGCAGTGCGAGCTGCAGCTGGGGAACAGCTCCCAGCTCCCTGCCAAGCCCTCGCCGCGCTGCACGAGAGCCTCAGGCCCAGCCCAGGCGGCCAGCACGGCGCTGTGACACACCTGTAGCCCTGCAGGCAGGCACGGGACACCTTCTGCCAGGCCAGCTGGGAGGCGGGCAGCACGCCGGAGGAGCGGAGCAGCCGGGCACAGGACGAGGCTGCAAGAGACAAGTGTGCTCCTTGAGCAGCCCTTGGCTGTGGGGACACCCCCGTGGTACCCCCTGTCCCCCCAGCCCTGAGAGCCCCCACTCACCCAGTCGCTGAGCCAGGGCAGGCCGCCGTGGAGCCAGGAGAGCAGGGAGCAGCCCTGCTGGGTCACAGCCCGGGCCACCTCAGCGCTCGTTTTCCAGAGCAGCTCCAGCTGTGGCCACAGCACAGACAGGGCCACGGAGCCGTGCTGGGCCAGGCTGTGCTCCAGCCACCTGCAAGGAGTCCTCAGATGAGCCAGGGCCGCACCACGGCACCCGCGGTGCCCGCACGGAGCTGCCAGCACGGGGTGCGCGGGGCAGAGCTGCAGTGCGAGCTGCAGCTGGGGAACAGCTCCCAGCTCCCTGCCAAGCCCTCGCCGCGCTGCACGAGAGCCTCAGGCCCAGCCCAGGCGGGCAGCACGGCGCTGTGACACACCTGTAGCCCTGCAGGCAGGCACGGGACACCTTCTGCCAGGCCAGCTGGGAGGCGGGCAGCACGCCGGAGGAGCGGAGCAGCCGGGCACAGGACGAGGCTGCAAGAGACAAGTGTGCTCCTTGAGCAGCCCTTGGCTGTGGGGACATGTGTCCGTCTGTCCCCACGGGCTCTGGGGACACACGGCTCGAGCTGTGCTGTGAAACCCCTCGGGAGATGCTCCAGGAGGGGACAGATGGACAGAGCCCCCTGAGCAGACCCTGCCAAAGGGGCACAGGCAGTCTGCCTGCAGTGCCTGCACCCCCCAGTACCCCCCAGGGGGACAGAGCCCCCAGAGCAGACCCTGCCAAAGGGGCACAGGCAGTCTGCCTGCACCCCTCAGATGGACAGAGCCCCCTGAGCAGACCCTGCCAAAGGGGCACAGGCAGTCTGCCTGCAGTGCCTGCACCCCCCAGGGGGACAGAGCCCCCTGAGCAGACCCTCCCAAAGGGGCACAGGCAGTCTGCCTGCAGTGCCTACACCCCCCAGATGGACAGAGCCCCCTGAGCAGACCCTCCCAAAGGGGAACAGGCAGTCTGCCTGCAGCACCTGCATCCCCTAGGGCCCCCAGCTGGACAGACAGACAGGCCCCACTGCTCACAGCAGCCACAGGGACACAGAGGGGAACAGTCACAGGAGTGATCCCAGACGGGAGGATCACTCCTGAGGAAGGGGAAAAAGCCTCAAGCTTGTGACAGGGAAGGTTTAGGCTGTCAACAAAAGCCAGTTTGCTCACGGCTGTGCAGGCTGGCCAGGGCAACGGTGGAGTTTCCATCCCTTGGGGGGGTTTAAAAGCCTGTGGACGTGGCACTTGTGGGGACACAGCGGTGGCTGGCAGTGCTGGGGGATGCCTGGTGCTCCCAGAGCACTTTTGATCCCGGATGACTCCCCGAGGGCCCAGCATACCCTGGAAGGAGCCGTGTGTCTGCACGTCGTGCAGGACGAAGGCAGCAGCGCAGAGCAGCAGGACGAGCAGCAGCCGGGACCAGGGGAAGCCCCCGCCCTTCATCTTGCACAGCAGCTCCTGGGCAGGGGGACAGGGCCCTGTCACTGTCACCGCAGGCTGCTGACACCAGGGAGGCCCCAGCACAGCAGCCCCACCCGCCCTGGCTTCCCAGGCACGTGGCATTCACATTCTCTGAAAACCCCTTCACCAGGATTTTTCTCCTGGGAAGCTGAGAAGCCTCAGAGAAAAAGGAAAACAATTTTTATCTCATTTGCTTCTCCTGTGCTTTGCTCATGTAGAATGTGTTTGGAGATTGTTTCATTGGATTCTGCTGTGAGTTGTTTTCACTCATTGGCCTTTCAGTGCCCAGCTGTGTTGGGACTCTGGAGAGTCAGGAGTTTTCATTATTATTTTTTAGCATTCTCTAAGTATCCTTTCTGTATTTTTTAGTACAGTATAGCTTAGTATTCTTTAATATAATACAGTATTATAAAGTAATAAATTAGCCTTCTGAGAACATGGAGTCAGAACATTCCTCCCTGCCACGAGGGCCCCTGCAAACACAACACCAGCCAGGACAGAGCCACCTGCTGAGCAGCTGGGGGCTGGACAGGGAGCAGCACATCTGTCCCCAGCGTGTCCCCACGGGGCCCTGGCCCTGCACGTGGCCCCAGCACGGAGCTGAGGTCTGGCCATCCTGCTGCCAGGCAGTGCCAGCCCATCCCATCCTGCCCCTCACCTTGCAGGCAGTGTCACAGGCTGCCACGTCCGTGTCCCCCCTGGCTGCCAGCTCCTCGTTTGTCACCTTGAAGGAGCGAACCGTTTCCTGCAGTGACTGCTGCACCTTGGGGACAGCAGGAGCAGCGTCAGGACCCCCCGGTCCCCAGAGACCCCCCGGGCTGCCACGGCACCAGGAGGGGACACTGCCAGCTCAGGGAGCTCCCCCAGCAGCACGGGGAGCTGTCCCAGCCCACAGCTGCCCCGTGCCCCTGCTCACCCCTACCTTCTTGCTGCTGCTGTCCCAGGACTCCAGCAGGTGGTTCAGCAGCAAACTGGGGGGGAAGGAGAACAGGGGCTTGGTCAGGAGCTGCCAGAGGGAATGGAGGTGTCCCACAGGCTCTGAGCACTGGCTGCCCTGGGAGGCACTGACCTGGACTGAGCGAGGTGTTTGGTGTAGAGCTGCCTCCAGACGCTGAAGCTCAGAGGGTCCAGGCTCAGGCACTGGCTCAAGGAGGTCAGAAGCTGGGGAGGGGGCACAGCAGGGCGTTAGGTGTGACCCCCTGCCCAGCACACCAGACACCCCACACGTGCCACGGCCAGCCAGCTGCTGAGGCACCAAACAGAGCTGCAGCACCCCTGCCCACACAGGGGTGGAACTGGATGGACTCCAAGGGCCCTCCCACCCAAACCATTCTAGGATTTGCTGGCTCCTGTCCCTGGGAGCAGGCAGCATGACCCCGGCCTATAGGAACGTGCCCCCAGTTGACAGAGTGACAAAACTATCCTGTGTCTCCTCAAAAAGGAAAAAAGCCCAGAAGTTCCTTTCCTCAGGTAAAAAGACACCTCACAGGACCTGGGGGCTTCACCTCAAACTTAAGGGTAGCCAATTAGCCAAGAGCCAAGAAGCCCCACCTAAGCAATTTACTAGAAAAATAAGAGAACAAAGAAACTAATTGCCTTTGTGAGGTGTTTCACCAAGAGCAAAACCCTCTTACACCTAGCTCCGTTTTTCTCTGTGAAGAGTTTTGTTATTTTCCCTTTCATTAAAACTTTTTTGTTCCCAACACTCCCACAGAAGCCACCCTGCTGATTTTAAGCCTCCTAAGGCAGCTGAGCTATCCAGGGTGTGAAACAGACCTCCAAAAGCTTACGAGCCCTGACTCAGAGACCCCCACTCCACCTGCCCTGCCGCCACCATCCCGCTGACAGCGCTGCCCCCTCCCCACGAGCCCCCTGCCCGCGCCGTGGCCGTGCCAGGCTCACCTCCTCCTTCATGGCGGGCGGGCAGGCAGGCGTGGCTCGGGACAGGAAGGAGGGGAAGTAGGTGTGCAGGGCAGCCTCGGGCCGGGCGCCCAGGGCCAGCACCTTCAGCCGGGGGTACAGGCGCCGCAGCTGCTCCTGCAGGCTGGGGGAAGAGAGCCAGGCTGCCGAGGGCCAGCTGGCACCAGGGTGGCAGCGGGGACACCCAGGGCCCGCCCTGTGGCACGGCTGGGCCCGGGCGGAGCGGCGTACCTGGGCGACAGCGAGTTGTTGGGCATGAAGGCGAAGTCCAGGAGGGGGAAGAAGTCCTTGGGGCCGATCGTGCCGAAGCCTTTGGTGAGGTTGGGGTGCATCCTGCAGGACAGAGGCCTGAGCTGCTGGGCTCTGGCAAGGGCAGCACTGCGGAGCCCCGGCAGCCCCCGGGACACAGGGGTCACTCACATCAGGAGCCGGTCCAGGTAGGAAACGGCGTAGGGAGAGAGGGACTTGATGCCGAGCACCGGGAGCATGACGCCGAGCCACACTGCAGGGACAGAGGGAGGGTCTGGCTGGGCTCTCCCTGCACCAGGACGAGCCAAACCACCCAGGGACAGGCAGGCAGATCCCCCGGGAAGGGCTCCAGGGCTCCAGGGCTGCAGAGCAGAGGAGCAGCACGCTGCCGGTCCTTCCAGGCAGGATGGTTCTCCCAGGATCCACCCATTTTCCTGTCCTGGCTGGGGGAAGCTGCACTGCAGACCTTGAGGATCCTCCCCAGCCTTTCCCACCCCTCGGCAGTGCCACCAGGAGGAGTGCAGGTGTGCTGGCATTCCCTGGAATCCCACCCCGCTGCTCCTTGAGGATCCTTCCCAGCCTTTCCCACCCCTCAGCAGCACCACCAGCAGGAGTGCAGGTGTGCTGGCATTCCCTGGAATCCCACGCTGCTGCTCCTTGAGGATCCTCCCCAACCTTTCCCACTCCTCAGCAGTGCCACCAGCAGGAGTGCAGGTGTGCTGGCATTCCCTGGAATCCCACGCTGCTGCTCCTTGAGGTGCTGGCACTCCCGGAGGGGATCCCACACTGCAGACCTTCAGGATCCTTCCCAACCTTTCCCACTCCTCAGCAGTGCCACCAGCAGGAGTGCAGGTGTGCTGGCATTCCCTGGAATCCCATCCCACTGCTCCTTGAGGATCCTCCCCAGCCTTTCCCACTCCTCAGCAGTGCCAGCAGGAGGAGTGCAGGGGTGCTGGCACTCCCGGAGGGGATCCCACCCCGCTGCTCCTGGAGGATCCTCTCCAACCTTTCCCATCCCTTGGCAGTGCCACCAGCAGGAGTGCAGGTGTGCTGGCACTCCCAGCAGGGGATCCCATCCCGCTGCTCCTTGAGGATCCTCTCCAACCTTTCCCATCCCTCAGCAGTGCCAGCAGGAGGAGTGCAGGTGTGCTGGCACTCCCGGAGGGGATCCCACCCTGCTGCTCCATGAGGATCCTCCCCAGCCTTTCCCACTCCTCAGCAGCGCCACCAGCAGGAGTGCAGGTGTGCTGGCACTCCCGGAGGGGATCCCACCCTGCTGCTCCCGGCTCTCACCCTTCAGGCCCTCGTGGAGGTCGGTGAATCCAGCCTGCCCCAGCGCCCACAGGACGGTCAGGCACTTGGCCGGCCGGTTCTGGTGGGAGCGCAGCACCTCCAGGTACTGCGGGAGGAGAGCACAGCTCAGCTGGGACCAGCGCCACCCAGCCCTGCCCAAACAGGCCTGGAGCCCTGCCACCAGCAGCCCCCCGCCCCTGGAAGGGACCCACAGCTCCAGGGGAGGCCAGGAGCAAGAGAGGGAACCCCAAACCCAGCTCTGGGGGTGCAGGGGGAACCCCAAACCCAACACTGGGGGTGCAGAGGAAACCCCAAACCCAGTTCTGGGGGTGCAGGGGAAACCCCAAACCCAGTTCTGGGGGTGCAGAGGAAACCCCAAACCCAGCTCTAGGGGTGCAGAGGGAACCCCAAACCCAACACTGGGGGTGCAGAGGAAACCCCAAACCCAGTTCTGGGGGTGCAGCCCCAGTTCTGGGGGTGCAGGGGGAACCCCAAACCCAGCTCTGGGGGTGCAGGGGAAACCCCAAACCCAGTTCTGGGGGTGCAGAGGAAACCCCAAACCCAACACTGGGGGTGCAGGGGGACAGAGGGAACCCCAAACTCCACTCTGGGGGTGCAGGGCAACAGGGGAAACCCCAAACCCAGCTCTGGGGGGACAGGGGAAACCCCAAACCCAGCTCTGGGGGTGCAGGGGAATCCCAAACCCAGCTCTGGGGGTGCAGGGGAAACCCCAAACCCAGCTCTGGGGTGCAGGGGGAATCCCAAACCTAGCTCTGGGGGTGTAGGGGGACAGGGGAAACCCCAAACCCAGCCCTGGGCGTGCAGAAGAAACCCCAAACCCAGCTCTGGGGGTGCAGGGGGACAGGGGAAACCCCAAACCCAGCTCTGTGTGTGCAGGGGAAACCCCAAACCCAGCTCTGGGGGTGCAGGGGAAACCCCAAACCCAGCTCTGGGGGTGCAGGGGAAACCCCAAACCCAGCTCTGGGGTGCAGGGGGACAGAGGGAACCCCAAACCCAGCTCTGGGG